TCTCCATATTACAGTGTTTAATATATAACTTAGCCCAGGACAGTAAGTCACTGTTAACCAGTCTCTAGAAGGCACTTAAACACTGAATAATTTCCCTTTTAACTGTGATTCTAAGTTGACAACCATTAGCAAGGCAGTATGGAAGAAAAACGATTAGGAGACAGGTGTTCCAAAAAGGAAGCAAGCATGTAAGGTACTAGCCTGTCATACGCAGCAATCATAAAGTTGAGGAGGAGGCTGATAGACTGTTCCACGCTGATTTGGTGAGTGGAAGGAAGGCGCTTGTTCAACTGATAGTAGATGGATGAGATGACAGTTTCCAGGCGGGACACACTGATCTCAGTGGTATGGTCCAGCGTATTAAGGCCATTGTCTCGGAAGGCTTCAATCATGTTCCAGATATCAACAAGATGAACTAAGACACAAAGAAAATAAATGTTCAATAATTTCAAAGTGTGGTAACCAACTTCACAATTGAACGCTTGAGCTTACCAATTAGTTTTTAAGTTTAAAGAAAAGAAACTCTTTAGCCAACAATGAGAAAAACATTCTGTAAGAGAATAAAGAGCATCAATCCTAGATAACATCAAGGAGCCACCAGAGCAGTCCAGGACTGGGTCCCTCCACGGGTCATATTGAAACAACCAATACTTCAGCTCTCTGGAAATAGTGACCCATACAATTCCTAACACCAAGTAATTAGAGAAAAAAGGTCAAATCTACTATACTTCATAAGAACTTCTAGTCTTTTTAGAAATGTGCTACATCACCTTGAATTCACCTTGTATTACTTCAGCCTAGCAACTTAAGCAACATTTAACAACTCAAAATAAATACATACAGTGGTATATTAGAGTATTTAAATATAGTGCAATTACTGGTATATTTTGTGTTTTCTACTTGTGCTGCTTGTTCTATTTCTCTGCCTTCTTTTGGATTGCTCAGTTGTATTTTCATTTCAGTTCTTCCCCCCCACCTCCCAGTTCTTTAGTGTTGGACGGTATACGCTCAGATTTTATTTATTTGAAAATGTCTTTATTGATCCTTTTTTCTTGTAAGGTTTTTCTGTTCAGTATAGAATTTTCAGTTGGTCGTAATTTCTTTTCAGCACATTAAAATTGTTTTGCTGTCTTCTCCTTCCTTTGTTACTTGAAGTCCGAGGTCATGCTAACTGTTTTTCTTTCAAGGAAATGTCTTTTTTTCTGTCTGGTTGAATATTGTTTTTTTTCATGAGTCATCGGTACACTCACTGAAAAAGATGTTTTTATGTTTAATCCAGGAATTTTAGTTATTTTCAAGAGTAAGGTAGACCAGGTCCCTAGTCTACCTTATTATTGGAAAATAGTGATTTTCTTAATGCAGCTATTATTTATTAATTTGCTTTTGAGACAGAGTCTCACTTTGTCACCCTTAGCCGAGTGCTGTAGTGTCATAGCTCACAGCCCTCAGACTCTTGGGCTCAAGTGATTCTCTCGCCTCAGCCTCCCAAGTAGCTGGGGCTAGAGGCACCTGCCACAACGCCTGGCTATTTTTAAAGACGGGGTCTTACTCTTGCTCAGGCTGGTCTCCAACTCCTGAGCTCAAGCAATCCTCAGCCTCCCAGAGTGCCAGGATTACAGGCGTGAGCCACAACACCCAGCCTAATATACCACATTAAAGACATGAAACTGGGCCATGCATTACAGCTCATGTCTATAAGTACCAGCACTTTAGGAGGCTAACATTGGAGGACTGCATGAGGCCAAGAGATTGAGAACAGCCTGGGAAACATAGCGAGACCTCATCTCTACAGAAAGTAAAAAAAAAATAGCTAGATGTACTGACATGTGCCTTTAGTCCCAGCTACTTAGAAGGCTGAGGCAGGAGGAGTCCTTGGACCCAGGAATTCAAGATTACAGTGAGCTATGATAGGGCCACTGCACTCCAGCCTGGGTGACACAGCAAGGCCCTGTCTCAATCATTCACTCAATCAATCAATAATTTCTTAAGGGCCCCAAAATGACAAATTCACATTTAAAAAAAAAAAAATTCAACTATATGCTAACGAGAAGAGATATGTCTAAAACATAAGGATACAAAAATAGTTTTAAAGTAAGAGGATGACAACTTCTAACCAAAAGAAAGCTGATGTAACTTTATAACACACACACACACAAACTGAGCTTAGAAAAGCATATGATCATCTCAACAGACACAGAAATAGAACTTGGCAAAATCCAACATCCTTTCATAACAAAAATACAACAAACTAAGCCAAGAAGGAAACTTCCTGAATGTGATGCTGGGTATCTCCCAAAAAATCCTGCAGCTAACGCTGCACTTAATGGGGAACTGCTGAAAGCTCTCACCTCGAGATGAGGAGCAAGACACCTAAAATATAAGCATCCAAAGAAGCAGCACTGCATTTTATTTGAATTAAAAACCTCTTTGCTTCAAAGGTTACTAGCAAGAAAGTGAAAAGATAACCCAAAGAATGGAAGAACATGCAAACCACATTATCTATTAAGGGTCTAGAATCTAAACTATATAAAAAAGATTTATGATTCGACCAAAAAACAAAATGACAACCCAATTAAAAAAAGGATGAATAACTTAAATAGACATTTATTCAAAGAAGATAGATGAATGGCCAACAAGCCCATGAAAAGATGCTCAAATCAACATCATTAGTCATGATGGAAAGGCAAACAAAAACTACAGTGAGAGGGGAGGGGAGGGGAGATGAGTGGAGGGCAGGTGATTGGAGGGATCACCTCTATGGTTTATCTTACAAGGGTACAAGTGAATCTTTCTAAGAGTAGAATATAAACGTCTTAACACAATAACTAAGAAAATGACACAAAGGCTATGTTAACCAGTTTGATGAAAATATTTCAAATATGAAAACACCACACTGTACCCCATGATTGCATTAATGTACACAGCTATCATTTAATTTAAAAAAAAACTACAGTGAGATACTTCACATCATTAGAATGACTATCATTGTTTTAAATGGAAAATAACAAGTGTCAGTGAGGACATAGAGAAACTGAACTCTCATATACCACTGATGCAAATGTAAAAATCATGCAGTTTTCCACTTTAGAAAACAATTTAGCAATTCTTCAAGTTAAACAAAGAGTAATTCTATTCTCAGAGAATTGAAACCATATGTTGATACAAAAGCTTGCACACAAATGTTCATAGCTGCATTATTCAGAATAGCCAAAAGTGGAAACAACCCAAATGTCCATCAACTGATGAATGGATAAACAAAATATGGTATATGTATACAATGGAATATTATTCTACCCATAAAAAGGAATGAAGTACTGATACATTTCACAATGTAGATAAACCCTGAAAACTTTATTCTAAATAAAAGACACCAGACAGTAGAGACTACATAATGTATGATTCCATCGATATGAAATGTTCATAATAGGCAAATCCATTTAAAAAGTAGATTAGCAGTTGTGAGGAGCTGAGGAATGAGGGAAAGGGGGAGGAACTGCTAATGGGTATATGGGTTCTATACCAGATAGAAACCGTATACCATATAGAAAACATATACCATATAGAAACCATATACCCATTGGTGATGATAATATTCTATAATTAGACAGTCATGATGGCTGTACAACTCTGTAAACATACTAAAAACTACTGAATTGTACACTTTAAAAAGGTGGATTTTAGGGTCCAGGCACAGTGGCTCACACCTATAATCCTAGTACACGGGCAGGCCGAGGCAGGTGGACTGCCTGAGCTTAACAGTTCAGACCAGCCTGAGCAAGAGTGAGACCCTATCTCTAAAACTAGCCAGGTGTTGTGGCAGGTGCCTGCAGTCCCAGCTACTTGGGAGTCTGAGGCAAGAGGATTGCTTGAGCCCAAGAGTTGGATGTTCCTATGAGCTATGACACCACGACACTCTACCAAGGGTGACAAAATGAGACTCTGTGTCAAAAAAAAAAAAGGTAGATTTTATAGTATATGAATTATATATACTATCTACATCTCTATTTTTAAAATGTTGGGACAAAACATTGCTAAATATAAAAAGAATCACAGCATAATTATACAAGTTTTAACTCATAAGATTTAAACACTTTACATTTACTTAAGTCTAACAGAATAGCCTCAATGCATATAAAATAAACAGAACCTCAAAGAGACAAACATATTCACAAGCTTAGTGAAAGATACTAACACACCTCTCTTAGTGACAGTGCAAACATACACAGAAATCAAGTATTGATACAGAAATGAAATTTCACAACTAACAAAGAAGCCAGGATGAGTGCTGAGCCCAGAGTGGAGTGCGGCCTAGAGAACATGTATACGCTGAGCCATACAGCACAACTCAACACATTGCAAAGGATTAAAAGCATGCTTCCTGATCAAAATGAACTTTAGTCAGAAATTAACTAAAAACATCTAAAAAAACTAAAGAAAAACTTTATCTTTAAAAATAATGAAATACACAACTAGGGAACTTTCTTAATCTGGCTATGATGGTTTGCATATCTGTCTCTTCCAACTTCCTTTGTTTTTGGCCAGAGCTGGGTTTGAACCTGCCACCCTCAGCATATGGGGCCAGCGTCCTATTCCTTGAGCCACGGATGCCGCCCTCTTCCAGCTTTCTTAATCTGGCTATGATGGTTTGAATATCTGTCTCTTCCAAAACTCATGTTGAAATTTAATATCTGATGTTGAGAGATGGGGCCTTTAAGAGATGACTGGGTCATTCATGGATGAATGAATTAATGGGTCATCGTGGAAGTGGGACTGGTGGCTCTATAAGAAGAGGAAGAGAGGCCTGAGCGAGTGTAGTCTGCCTCTCACCATGCGATGCCCTCCACCACCTCCAGCTCTGGAGAGTCCACACCAAGAGAAGACCCTCACCAGAGAGAGCCCCTTTCTCTTGAACTTCTCAGCCTCCATAACTATAGGAAACAAATTCTTTTTCTTTATAAATTACCTAATTTCAGGTATTCTGTTATAAACAAAAGAAAACAGTCTAAGATAAAAGCCATCTATAAAGAAGCCACAGTGAACATATTACTTAATAGTAGAATGTTGAAAGCCTTCTCTGATAATGGAAATGAGATAAGGAATGCTTGCTATTATCATTTCTATTGTATTTGAGGCCAGACCAATACAAATATGCAGTATAAAATAATAATACAAATACACATATTTGAAATAAGGAAGTATAAAGGTCATTACTCAGAAATGATAAAACTATGTACATGATAAATCATAAAGATTCTACAGATAAATCACTATAATTAATATATGAGCCTAGAATAACTGCTAGAAACAAAGCCAGGATATAAAAACTGCTGTATTTCTATATATCAGTATAAAATGAAACTTTAAAATACTATTTAAAATAGTATCATAACTTACCAAACACCTAGTAACAAACTCAGTGGAGGATATGCAAAATCTCTACAAAGAAAGCTGTAAGTATAATTGGCAGAAATTAAAAACCTAAACAAACGTAGAAATGAATGTCATGTTCGCAGGAGGAAATCTCAATATTGGAAATATATCAGTTCTCCCCAACTTGATCAATAGATTCAGTACAATCCCAATCAAAGTTCCAGCAGGACTATACTTTAAAAGGGTGAATTTCACTTTATGTAAACTATACTTTAAAAAAAAAATGAAAAAAAAAATCCCAGCAGAATTCTTTGTTTTGTTTTAGTAGAAATTGAAAAGCAGATTCTAAAATTCATGTGAAAATAAATGTTCAAAAGCCAAGAATGTCCCCGATGATCTCAGGAAGAAAAACAGAATACAGTGTAAGACTCGTTCTCCCTGATATCAGGATCTATTAAGCTTTAAAAGTGTTTGTTGGTACAAGAAACATTATGTTATTCGAATAGTCTGGCATTGGTACAAGGACCATGAAGAAACATGACTTCAGAAGAAACACAAGAGGGTCAAAAAGTAGAGCTTCTCATACCTGGGCACTACTATAAACATTCTTGTACATTTCTCCTAATGAATATGAGAAGGGTCTTTAGCAGTGAAGAAAAAGGGTGACCTTGTCAATAAACAGTGAAGGGGCAACTGAACATACATACGGAAAAACCTGAGATTTGACTCACACCTAAAAAATTCCAGGTAGACTATAAGTCACATGCGAAAGATAATAGCATAAAACCTTTAGAACAGGCATCTTTTATTTTATATCACTAGCCTAGTTCAAGCTCTCAACACTCCACATATAGACTACTATCTCTCAAGAATAATTATAGAAAGAATTATAAAAACAAGAAGTGCTCTAAGGCACTGTTTTTCAAACTTGCTGACCACAACCCACAGAAATATATTTAGATCATCATATACACACACCCCTCTAAATAAAAAACAAAATTTTCATAAAACATTTTTTAGCCTTATTACATAATCTGCATTCTACTACTTTCTTTTCTAGTACCTGTTTTAAACTCTGACTACAGCCCAACAAAATGATTTCATGTAAGCATCACAATCCTCAATCTGAAAAACAACGCTTTGGAAATTAGTAAAGAAAGAAACATGACTTCAGTATACGATGGCATGATAACCTCCTTTTTTTTTTTCTTAATAATTTTGAGACTGTCTCTCAGTCTGTTACTGAGACCAGAGTGCCGTGGCGTCAGCCTAGCTCACAGCAACTTCAAACTCCTGGGTTCACAGGTGTGTATCATGACGCCAGCTATTTTTTCTATTTTTAGTAGCGTCAGGGTCTCCCTCTCCCTCAGGCTGGTCTCAAACTCGTAAATTCTTTTTTTTTTTTTTTTTTT